AAGACACTACTTTTCTGGATAAGGTTCTTTTTGGGGATAAGGCAACTTTTAACAGCATAGGTGTTGTCAACAAGCATAACATGCACTATTATGCGACGGAAAAACCTTACTAGGTTAGGCAAATAAATGGAGCTCGAATGTTTGGGGAGGAGTTGTTGGCAGACAAGTTATCGGACCTTTCTTTTTCGACAACAGATTAACAGGTATAGAATACTTGAATTTTTTGATCGAACATTTGCCTTTTACTTTTGGAGGATGCCAACCTGCAAACTCGGATGTATATGTACTTCCAACATGACGGCGCACCTGCGCATTACCATAATCGTGTGCGTAACTATTTGGACACCTGGAGTAACAATCGTTGGATCGGTCGTGATGGGCCTATATCTTGGCTTTCTAGATCACCAGATATTATGACACCGATGGAATTTTTTCTATGGGGCTACGTTAAGCAAGAGGTTTATAGATATCCACCATCTACCCCGGAAAATATGAAGGAAAGGATTAAGGATGCTTTTCGGAACATAAGGGCACACATGCTGAGGGATGTGCAACGGTTATTTATCCAACGACTACGGCTGTGTATTCAATATGGTGGAGATATTTTCGAGCAGCTTTTGTAGATTAGGTCTTGAGTAGTGATATTTGTTTGTTTATGTTGTTGTTATAGTTGTTTTTCTCTATTACGCTTGAAGCTGATTTTTATTAGTTTTTACGTCAAATCTGTACTCTTAGTGGCAATATGGAACTAGCCAACTGTTTGTCTTTTGTGTCCATGGATGATGTGATTTTTTTCCTTAATTTTGGTGTGTTGTTCTATTGAAAGCTTAATGACTCAAAATCTAGTGATTTTATCTGAATCAAACCTTATACCGAAAAAAAAGCTTATAAAAAATTGTATCCAAACTTGCACAAATATGCAGAGTGATGCATTTGAAATTTTTGAGAAAAACTACGTTTTTGACCACCCTGTATGAGCAAAAATTAAAACTCGAAGAAGTAAGATAAAAGCTGAGGTTTGTAAGTTTTTGTTTTGATACAAAATTTTGCACTCCAAATTTCAAAATGGCGGATTTAGGGGTTGCCGAAGTGGACGGTTTTTCTGGACAAAACACCTTACATCTCAGTAGCTAATTACCAAAACCCCATAGTATATCAATCTTCTTCTTTTGAACTGGTTTATCCAAATATGGAATAAAATTTGAGGCATTCTATTTGAAAAATCACAACCTGGATATGTAGGCCAAAATTGGGAAACCCTGTATAATTGCCAATATTTTAGAAATGTGCCCTCAAATGACATGTATAACATGCCATAAATAGATTTTCCCACAATGTATTTGTTTATGAGTAATATTCCGTCCACATGGGTGGGCCACCCTATATATATATATATACAGGGTGTTCCATAATTATTGCGACAAAATGATAGGGGTTGTAGAGGGCATCAAAATGAACAATTTTTCCTTATAAACCCCTGTTCGGAAATATGCCGTTTGGGCTGCAGCAAAAAAAAAGATCAGTTTCTTGAAACAGCTTACCTACAGTAATTGCTCAAAGTGTCCTCCACCTTGCTCAATACACAGCTGTGCACGATTGTTCAATGATCGGCGGTATGTCCTGAACATGTGCGGACGCGGCCATCACTCTTCCCAGTAGCTCTTGTTGGTTGGGAACAGGAGTTTCGTACACTAAAGCTTTCAGATAGCTCCAGATAAAATAATCCAGTGGGGTCAGGTCAAGTGACCGCGCAGGCCAAGGCACAGGGCCACCTCGGCCTATCCACCTATTTGGAAATTTGTCGTCCAAATACTGCCGCACTTGTAAAGAAAAGTGGGCTGGACTGCCATGGTGTTGAAACCACATGTTGGCTCTTATATTCAGTGGCACATTTTGTAATAGTTCCGGTAGCACATGCTGTAAGGATCGACCATAAGCATGCCCATCCAAACGTGGTGGAAGCAGATATGGCCCGATGATATGCTCGTCCACAATGCCGCACCAGATGTTAATTGAAAACTGATGTTGGTCTCTATGGATGGCTATGGCATGAGGGTTTTCTTCATCCCAAATGTGACTGTTATGGCTATTAAAATAACCGTCCTTTGTAAAACAGGACTCGTCAGTGAACAAAACGTAGCGACCAAAGTTTGGTTGCCTCAACTCCTGCTGCAGCCACCAACGACAAAAACGTCGACGCGGCAGATAGTCTGCTGGACCCATGGCTTGGACTTTTAAAAGGTGGTACGGGTGTACGATAACAAAAATGTAAACACAGCAGGCTTTTTTTACAAACCGGTGAGACCATGAAATGTGCTAGACGAACATTTTGCAGCTGGTGAATTTTTTGTTTCTCCTATGAGCTCTTAAGGTAAAATTAACTGTAGTGCTCAAACGGCATATTTACGAACAGGGGTTTATAAGGCAAAATTGCATATTTTTATGCCCTCTACAACCCCTATCATTTTGTCGCAATAATTATGGAACACCCTGTATATAAAGAAAATGATCGTGCGGAGAAAGTTAAATAACAAAAAGTACTAAAATAATGGGCAAAATCCGCAAAAAGGAGGAAAGTGGATTCGAGCAGAAATACGTATCGCTCAAGTTACCTATATATATATAACTGACGTGATCATTGTCGTCTAGACCAGTTAGGTGAAAAATTAAAGCTTCCGCCTTTTGTTGGGTACTTCGACAAAACTTTAAGCAAAGAGGACTCTTTATACTTTTTTATTCTCTCTAGCTTTCAATGGACTTTGCCATCAACTATTCGAGATTTCATCTTTTTTTCCACTGATAACCTCCACATTACATTATCCAATACGTTCCGGCCGACTGACATTCTACAGCGGCGTATGAAGTGTGACATTGAAAATTATTGGAAGGTCATCCATTATGTAGTCCTGTGAAGTGTGTTGCCTAGTAGTAAGGCGTTTTGTAATATATAGTGCAAGAGGTTGCGCTATTATTGACCGATGAAGTACAAAGATATTTTCAAAACCTGATAGAAGTTGCTTTGGAAAGAGTGTGATTTAGATGTTATCCTACCAAACAACTAAGAAATCTAAAGTGTGAATATTCCCTTAAAATTATTTTTCTCCTAATTGTTATTTGTTGCTATTGTCAATAATTGTTTCCAGCTCCAGACAATGAAGACATAGTTCTTGAGAGTTTAAGTTATAAGAGTGTACTTTAGCAATACTTTGCCATCTACCCAAAGAAATTAAAGGATATCTTATATATATCCTTGTACATTAAATTGTTCATTTTCACACCATTTATAACAGATATGGATTTTCCTAACCCAACAATTTCTTGAAGATACCACAGCTTGTGGAATTTGTTCAATGTAGGGAAGTATTATCGATTGATCAGCATTATTTGCAAGAAACCAATAAATTATGCTTCTGTCTTCGATTCATGTTTCTAAAATTTCTCAAACGTCAAAATAACAACATAACCTATAGTCAGAACTGTAAGCAAGCCATAAATCTAAAGCAGTACACACAAGTACCTTACTGAAGGAGACATGATATGGAAATCAAGGGTGACATAAAGGCGTCCTACAATTGTAAGAACGACTGACGATACGGATCTTAGAGGAATTGGTTCCGCGGGATGAAAGCTGTACGACTTGTAGTTTAGTGGGAACTCATGCAGCACCACTCAATCCTTTACCCTATCCAAGAAATTCAATTTGACAACTTAGGGACTGATATAATTTAGATTAATTTATAATAATCCAGCAGACTTGACTTACGGTTGATCCAACTGGACTATTCTCTGCTATGTAAAGAATCATCTTGTCGGAATCAAAAACAGGAGGAGAGTCGTTGACGTCTTCTACCTTTATAACAACAGGTACGGAACTGCTCAGTGTTGGTGACCCTCTATCGATAGCGTATGCCTCCAGGTCGTAAGAGGGCGTAGACTCCCTGTGGAATTTAACAAATATACAGGGTCATTCAAGAGATAATAACAATATTTCTATAGTATATCTAAGTATATCCAAATATAATATAATATAAGTATATCCAAATATAACAAAAAAGGTTATATATAGTATGTCCCAAAATGTTCCTTTACCAAGATAAAGGGTATTATAACTTTCTCCGCCACTGATAAGTCTTAATGACACACAAATATTGTTAAGGAAAACGCTATCGGATCGCTATCCTACTACACCTCATACAACGGTATAACTTCGCTAACTTCGACGTATTTTCAAAGTAGTACCTCGAATATTCAAACGAGTTTTTCTCCTAAAGGTGTAGTCTAATATAAGTTTCTCGAAAGAGGCGATTCATCTAACATTGAGTATCTTAACCAAAAATCCAACAGTTCTTTCAAAGTCAGTGGAATAAAGAATATTTCACCTTTTTCTTTTGTAGTTGGCAAAATTTACAAATTTCGACGCCACTGGTGTATCTCAGACATGAACATTTTTGTTCGTATTGACGTCTTACCCATATAGACCCTGCAAGTGATTCATAAGTCCGCCGTTTGTTATGATCGCGAACCTCAGTGGCGGGAAATACGAACTTTCATTCATAATTTTATCAAATTGGCCCCAGGCTTGGAACAGCACAAGGCTCAAGGTCAACTACGGAATTCCCACCATAAGCGTATCACAATGTAGGCCATGAAGGGCTATAAAAGCCAATAAATTTCTCATATATTGGAGGTACACACGTCTTTCTTGTAGGTATACTATTATTAAGGTGACCATACGTTCCACTTTCGGATTCTGTCCTACTGTTCCTGACAAAAGCCTGGCGACATAAAAATGTCCCTCTTTTCGGTCGTGGTGTCTCCAACAAAAAGCATTCAACCCCCCTTCCCTCCCCCCGCTCTTCATACATCTAATCATCGGCCATGAATGCTAAAAATGATTGTAAACAAAAATAGCAAAATGTGTGTCTTTTGTGGTAGGTACAAGACCCCAATATGGAAGAAATAAAACACAGCAAATACCTACTTAAAAAAATGTTTATTTGATGGATTACAAAATATTTTATATTGAGATCAATCAATGCAAAGTAAAATTTTCTTGACATTCTTAGTAGGAAATGTCAACAAAAAATATACCTAACAATTGTAAATATGGGATATTACACCAGCATAAGTTATGTTAACAATAAGCAGTTGACAATGAACATTGCACGGATTTGAAAATGTGCAAAATATGAAAATGTTTAAGCTGACTCGTATAAAAAGGTCAAACAATTTTTTAGTAACTCTGCCTTTTCCGCAGCAACTAATCCGCCAAAAAAAAGTAGCCAACAGAAATTTTCCAGGATCCATTAAGACATACCAACATAAATACAAGTACATCCTTTGCTTCAGGTAGCATATCTAAATCAATATTTGCCCCAATATCAACATACCCAGTGAATTTGGTTCCAACCACTCAATTTGTTGTCGAATAGACATTTCATCTAAAACCAAATTGCACACAACATTGCATCTGCTTGTCGTTTTAGAATTTTTAGGGTTTCCAAGGCTTCCTGTGTGAACCCAGGAGAACCATTAACTGATTTATACCACTTACTGATTATACTTAAATCAGGTAAAGATTTATTAAATGGGTTTCTAACAAAAGTATACGCCTTAGGTGAGTAAAACGCAAGGGTCACTGCAAAGCTTCTTAACACAGGATCACATTTTTGTGTTGATGGACCTTTTAACATCCTTTCAAATATTTGAGAGGCTGGACCCGACAGACACGCCTGAAACAACAATAAAAGCAAATTTCAATATCTTTAATGTTGGTATGTATGAGCAGTTTGGAAATAAAATACACTTGTAATCACGATACTTCAATATAGAATAACTTTCAAGAATTACATTTTTGCATTGTTTCTATATGGTACCTGTCACATTTTGCCATTGTCTCATGATCGAAATTGAAATCTTTCATGATTTCATTTATAGGTGATGTCCACTTCTGACATTCCATAGGTCTAAATAACTTAAAAATTGAGGTGACTCGAATTATTCCAGTGTTTTAAGTAAACACCAGTTAAGCAAGAAAGAAACACCTTAAACACACGGGAAAATATAAATAAATTGGATATGACCCATTGTTTCTATATGGTGATGTCATATTGTTTCGTGACTTTGGTTATAGGCTAGGTCAATTTATTTGTATTTTTCCTCTTTCAGGAAGTTTTAGGTTCTTTTGTTGTTACTTAACTGTCCTAATGTGGTTTTTGTTTGTTTTCCCTTACCTTGAGTTCACTTTCAGTTGAAGCATTCATATTAAACTTTTGAGTTAGCATATCAAGGAATTCCTTCTGTGTTTGGATTCTATTTCTGAAATATCGGATCAAACGTTGTTTGTTTTGTAGTAACTTCCTCTGTCTCAAAATAGTGTCCTTCATGAGACGAAAATTCCGTTTTCTCTTCTCAGATGTAGAAAAGTCACTACTGGTTAGGTCTCCCACATACCTCTTCCTACAATAATAAGACCATCATTATGAATGTTGTGAATGATTAATTTTACAGATGATAAAGAGGTATCAGTATTCAGTATGTATTTATACAGTGATTTTCAAAAGCCTACGTATTTTTTGAATGGGCCAAATTAGCAAATAAGAATTTGGGCTAATGGAATCAATCTTCTTCTTTTTTAAAGATCTGCCTAAATGTGCAGTGAAACATGGAACATTCTGTCATTTCTACGCTAAAATGTAGTACTTATATGTCTCAAATTTCAACTTGCTTGTCTCTATGAAAAGCACTATATATACTGAAGTGCATATACAGGGCGGCACAGCAACGTTTGAGGTCTGATGTTTTAGAGTGTATGAGTGACTGGAAAACTAGAGGCGCATATAACAAAAACATCTAAGAAAGAGTGCACCAATCACCATGTTACCTAGCAGTGACAGAAACAATGGTTGCAGAGCCTTATTGTAGCTTGTCATGCATTCTTTCTAACATAATGTGTTGAACGCTTCTCTGTCTTCCCTCTCTCTCATATACAGTGAGACTTCAGACATTGCTGGCCTGCTCTGTATATGAATATCGTCTATAGACATTGAATGAAGAATTTATATCTGATAGTATGGTTTTGTACCTCTTTGTTTTCTTCTTTGCTTGAACAGATTCAGTAAACACATCTGATTCATAACCATTTTCTGAGGCTGTCACAGTTGCAGGTGAGGCACTCCAAATTTTAGAAGAACTTGATGATGGCCAATCTTTCACATTGAAACTAAAAAATATAAAATATATTTTATGCATAATCTTAAATATGTGACATCTTGCTTGACTTACAATGGCAGATGTTCCAGGTTGAACAAACGTTTCATGTTTCTGCTGCATCCTACAATATCAAAAAAAAATCAAATTTCCTGATAAACAGTTGAAGATACCAGTCATATATCAAAACAAAAATTCAAACAGATATTGAAAATAGCAATTTTAAATGGATGATAAACAGAGTGATTCAAAAGCAATATCAATATTTTTTGGAGGACAGAAAATAGGTTTAAAAGTGACAAAAAACCCTATGACCACTTGTATAAAAATGTCCCATTGCCCAGATACCAGGTATTATAAATTTCTGCACCACTGATGGAACTGAATAAGGACAAAGCATGAATACTTTTAAATGACCCTTAACACTAGGACTGGATAGGATTACTAAAACACTAGATACACTTCTTCAGATTTTATCAGATATATTCAAAAATGTAATTTTCGTTTTGTTTCTTCTAGTGGTCAAAATTTCCGATCAACGTCAAAGATTTTTTTGATCTTGAAATTATGTACCACTTCTATACCCAGTATTGATACTGTTGTTTCTATGAATGTTTCATGTGCTTGATTCTAAAAATATTGATATCATTTCTGGATCACCCTGTTTTATGATACAAATATAAAATATTTACATTACATTTTTGCATTGATACTTCTAGCCGTGTAGAAGCAATTATAATCAGACAACTGACTGTTTTGTGTTGAAATGCAGTACTAAAATTTCTAAAATACTTTCAGATGAAATAAATAGTAGATTTCCAAATTTAAATTAAATTAGCCTACAGTACATGGATCTTTCACGAAACATACCTTTCATCAGTATTAATTCTGGATGAAGAGGTTCTTATGGAGCTGCCAGTCACATCTAGGGAGCTTGCAATACCTTTTGGCATCACAGAAAGTTCTTTTGGCGAAATATCAATACTTGATGATGATGTACTAAAACAATGGTATATTATATTGTCACCAATTAAGTAACCATTCTTATCTGTTTGTATAATAAGCTTTATATTCATAACAGACCAAGTGACAATATAACTGTCCCCTTAGGTCCTCTCTTCTACATTCTATATGTCAATGACATAATGCAATTAATGCAGGATTTAAACATGTATGCCGATGATACATCTTTTGTTATCAGTGAACACTCAGAGGCAAGAACTAAAATTGTTGCAATTGACCACTTAAAACAACTTCAGAACTGGTTCTCATCCAATAACCTACTGTTAACTTTAAAGAAAACACAACTAGTGCAATTCAATAGAAACTTAGAGAGCAATAACTTTTCCATCTCTTTTAATGGAAACACTATTGATGCTGTAAACACTGCCTCACTTTTAGGTGTTAGTACAGATTGCTGCCTCAATTGGAAAGACCATATTGAAGATGTATGTGAATCTGTTGCCAAATTCAGTTATGTGATAGGAATATTGTCTGGATGTCTTGGCAAGAGGGCTGCCTTAACAGCATATTTTGGATATGTGCATTCCAGGCTGTCATACGGAATTATTTTTTGGGGCAATTCAACAACTGTCTAGAGAGCACTTATCATTCAAAAGAAATGCATTAGGAATATCTTTGCAATGTGTTTCAATGATAGCTGAAAAACAAGTATTCAGAGAAAGTGGCATTTTGACTGTGGCTGGTATCTTTATCTTAGAATCAGTAGTATTCAAAAAAAATCCAGATCTTTTCCAGAATCCATACTTCCACCACTACAGTACTAGAAATACATCTAATCTCATATCAAACACATTGACCATGACTACTCCAGAGGAATGTTGAATTCTCGATAACCAAAATTTGGAATAAGATACTTCTCAACTCTTTCAAAAAAATGTTGCATACTATCCTCTGTGACAAGGCCTATTATCAGGTCCAAGAATTTTTGGAGGACAGTTATTTTAATGTCATCTCATATCTGTGATATTCACTTTATTTTAAGCGTATTTGTATTTTATTGTGTATTTGTATTAATTTTTGACAAGTTTCACATCACCACTGTGATAACATGCTACAAATAAAGTTTATCTATCTATAGGCCCAGGCCCAGAACCTTGGTCAGAGTACCCAAATGCTCAAAAATCAACCAAAATTCAGAAATGTCTGAATAATTCTTTTTCCCTGGTCTTGCTTCGACCTGGGGGCTCAAGCCACATTGGACTCATGTCCCGAACTTCCTGTGGGTCCATGTACAAAGATGAGCCATCCAACTTGCACATACCTCTTGCATCTTCTGGCCTCCAAAAATACCGAATTGCAACGTCGTATTAGCACCGAAGACGGTCTAAAAAGCAGGATTGATACTGGAAGGTAATGTCCGAGCAATAAATTATAGATAAAAGGTAAGGCATTCTATAGAGGCGCGTGGCTCGGTTGCCTAAAGTGGCGGTGGGTTATTGCTGTTGATCAGGTGTAGGCTTAATTAAATTCCTAATATGGTGTGATTTTCAAAGCAGATTACATCTTTATTTCCAATATATCTCCAGGCTTGTGAAAAGCAAAATATTTCTTTCAGATTTCAATATTCAAGAAGAAGCAGGTTGTTTGATTAATTCTGATATGGTAGGTTGGATGTTTGGTCTTGAATCATAGTTACGTTTGGTAACTGAACATTCTCATCTAAAATATCAATATGAAAAACGTTTAGCTTACGAAATTAGCGCTGGCTCTTTATCTTTTTTGCAACTAATTTCATTAGCTTAGCTCTGAAAAGTATTTTACCAGTATGTAGTTTAACCACTTTCTGTGTCTATAAAAATCTGCATTCTGGTCTACATGCTTCTTACTTTATAGACATACTGGTAGGTTCAGCCCCTTTAGGCAGAAACCAAATATATAGAATTTTTGCTTTTCCAGAAATCCTCCCATTGCTAATACAAACAATTATGATCAGTTATGATTTGTTGTGTCGCTTAGTCCAGGTAGCTACACTTCACAGCAGGTATAACATGCTGTAATATGAAGAACAAGCGTAATGAGCTGTTGCGCTTTGGGAGGGTAGACTCTGAGGAGCCCCAAAGCCCTCCCATGAATACGCCGCTGTGCCCATACCAGGATAGGAACAGAGGCGTGGGCTCTGTGGGCCTAGCTCAAAGAGTTCCGTGCTTCTTTCTAATATCATTGGGATTACACCCAGCCAGCGGCGGCGACGAAGTAAATAAGAAATGAATAAGTCCTTCTTGATTCAATTTACAAATTAATGCATTAATCAAAGAATCTATCATGTTTTTAGTCATAAAATATTACCAGACATTTGAGAAACAAAATAGTATTTTAAATTTCAATAGGTATTAAGAGTAATCCATGTAATTTTTTCTTATGAATGTGGAAGTGGAACAACCAGCGGGTACGCTTATGCAGTCGGCGGCGCGGCACCTCAAAGACAAAAGCTGTATTTTGTGTTTTTGGCTCACAAAGAAATTGACAGTAGCTAGAAAAAAGTCATATTTTTCTATTTAACTCTTAGGTTTAGTTTATTTAGCATGGATAATCAGTTGTTGTTTGAGTGTTCTGGAGAGCAATAATGTTGTAGAAGAAAGAAAATGTCTCGACAACAAACAACCCCGCGTGAGAGACGAATGATGATCAAATGTTATGAGATGGATATATCCAGCGCCCAGATAGCAGACCAGTTTGATATGTCGGTAAATTATAGTCTTTTTGATCATAGCACACTTTCAGTGGATAGTATAGAAACATTGTATGTATACTGGAAATCTATTTTGAATAACAATATGTATTTTTTTGTAAGAATGATTTTGTTTATTTGTTACTTTTGTTTATGGATTTAGACAGAAACTGTTTTTTTTTGAGAATTCTAGAGTGATTTATTACTTGTTTGTATTTTAAAGGATATTATTTTTATTTTAATTGCATGGAATTGACTGTTTTATTTTATTATTTTATACTATATTATATATACTCCATAATCATTTGAATTTTTATTGAACCACTCACTACCTTATTATAACAATAAGGTGATGGATTCTAATTTATTGTATGCGCAACCTACGTTTTTTGCTTGAATGCCAAATATTTGACCTACCATATAAAAATTAATTCATCTCTCAATCTCTGTTTGGGGACCTGTTATTAAACAGACCGTCGGCAATGAGTAATCAGGGGAGCAGAAACACTTCGTTCTGCGACCTGTCTTTATGTAGAGCGTCCCTCTTTTTTCCTGTATAATTTATTGCCGGTTTATTTCTTTCATCTCCTTTACCGCCGTCTGAGCAAAAGCTAAACATACACGGTAATGTTACCGAAAGGACATGCGATAAACAGGTTACAATAAAAATAAGAGTTTTGAGCGCGTAGCAACTAGGATTCTTAGAGAAATTTTACATGGAGTACCCTTCAAAACACTTTAAGGAGTATGTATATTTCATATTTTCAAGTGTTGTGTTCTGAAGATTTAAAAATAGGAAAATTGATATATCATTATCTTAAAAATCGCCGCAAATCCTTCCACTCAAATCTGCCGTTGGTAATAAAGGAATAATCAACTTGAGCATTTTATAGACCAATTGCGTATGAGTGAAATACGAAAGGTAAGAAATCAAGGGCACTGGCTGTAATGAAGCTTCTCAAACGCTGGGAGATTTTAGGTACGGATTCGCGTCGTGTATCTGCGGAGTGTGGGTAGAGACTGTTGATTATGATTTGTTCACCAAAATATTCATAAAGATCATATTCTGGCAGAATCGTGCATATTATATATTAGCGTGTATGTCCAGCTTTACATCCACCCTTCAACTGGATATACACCCACACACATGTCGGTATACAATAGGTTTTTTTTGTTTATGATTTACTGCCTGGAGTCGACCAAGATATAAAAATAAAGGGAAGAAAGGTTACAGGCGGATGGTTCACCTTAATGGGTTCCCTACTTTTAATTTTATTGATTTCAACAGAGTAATGCGTAGTTTGGCATGTCATAGAGTAATTGAGTTTATATACAGGGTAATACATACTATTATTTTTTCTGTCTAGACGATATATGATAAATAGCATTTTCTGGAAAATAGGCTTGAAAAATATAGTGTTTTAGCGTTCCACCCATTGGCGATAACCCACCTGTCGTTCTGGTTTCCTTGGCATTGTGCAATATCAGTAACTACTATACGGATTCTAACAGAGGTTGGAATGGGTTATTGTTCGGTCACAAGTTTGAAAATGAGTGTAAGAGCGCCAGACTTAGTAACCAGAAAAGAAAGCAGATTTTCCAAACTGTGTGCTTACATCCTAAAAGCATTTTCAGTGTAGATGAAAACAATCACTTTGTTTTTTGAATGTTCGTATTTATTTTTCAGCGAACATGAATAATGTAGACTGAAGAGTATAAAATTAAATAAAGAAATGGAATATTACATCTATTTTCTCGCAATATACTTGAACGATCTACTTTGGAAATGTTTGGCAATAATCATTGACGTAGAATGCAAAACTAAATAACAAATTTGTATCGTATTTTCTTCTTTTTGGTACTACCCAGTCATGAATCTAGTTGTTCGATAAAAAGAGTTCCAACACAATGAAACTTAAAACTAACAACTTTTTAGGAGAGCATAAAAGAACGGTGGGCCTTTGGAGTCGCTATCGAATGATCTTATAATCCTCCATGTTTGTCTAGTTGCAAATGAAACCTCATAAGCTACTAGTGCCTACTGATGACATTCCGGCAATCACGGTGGCTTTTTTAAGCAAATACATAAGTTATTCTTTGCGTTTAGTGGTATTACAACTTAAGCGACGATGTCCCAAATTCCAAATATGTTAGAATAACAATAGTCGCCTTTACATCATTAGCGGAGCATCGAAATATTAGCACCCCACTTCCTGCTAGTTTCGCAACACGTAAAACAATCCAGTGTTCTGCGGTCAACTACCTTCAGGTGACCTTCATTCCTGGATGTTTATCTTCCTCCTGACTAGCTGCTATATCACAGACATCACAGTTTAACTGCATGTAGGATTTGGTATACCACAATGTAATTTCAGACACCTCGCCAAAAACTGTTTTAACGACGGAGTGACGCTACTCTTCTATAGTCCATATCATTTCGCCACTACTTGCTTAACCACCTTAGGCGCTAATGCGACGTTGCAGTTCAGTATTTTGGGAGGCCAGAAGATGAAGGAGGTATGTGCAACTTCGATTGCAAATTTTTGTACATAGCGTAAGGTGGCCTAGGGCAAAATAATCTAAAAAACATTTTGTGAGTGTATAAAATTCTTACCATTGAGAGGAAACAACTGGCCAAATGGACTTTGGAATAGCACCAGGTTTTAGCCAAGTTCTTCCACTAGCATCAGTAGTGAAATCTTACTGCAAAAAATGCTTGGAGCATATTCTAACCATCTTTGTGGGATTGAGGTTCTAGCTCGGTAAGTTCCAAGAAACGCATCCATTTCTCTCTCTGCTTCTCATTTGCAGGTAGTCGGGAATGAAAATTAGAAATTCAAGTAAGATGCATTGTACGAACATTTGTGATAAACGATATACTTATACAGGCTTTTGGGTGATTTATGAGCACTCATAAAAAACAGCATTTTTTTCCTTACATTTAAGAATGTTATGAAAATCTTTCTAAACACTGTTTTACATGTAAAAACATATAAAATACGGAGTAGATGCGGAAAATGACGCACTCCACGCCAATGAGTAGAATCGTAAACATAACCTTACCTGTGAAAATATATCCCTTCACTGCCTGCTTTCCCAGCCTCAACCTTAGACAAAAAACACTTTTGTCTCACCATAATTTAATAAAAGTCTAAAAAACACAAGAAAATCAAGCGTATAGCACGAGGATAAAAGCGAGTTTCACATAAAATAATAATGGCGGCCAAAACACGGAACACGCACAGATTCACAGGCGATGACTCACTCTTACTACAAGGCTACTACAAACAAGTGCAGCGTTGCCGTATATAAACGTTAACCACAAATATGTAGAACATAAATCAAATCCAAGCGAATAACCAAAATTTCTGTGTTATGTACCGCGGTTATAATATGGTTCAAGATGACACACGGGTTGATGACGTCAGTTACACGAATCGCTTGAACGCGTTGGTTTTAACCGCGGTTTTGTTGCAAGTTGTTTATTTTAGAAAAGCGCGTATATAATCTCTGATTATTTTTATTATCACTTAATAATCGGTGCTCTTTCGTCTACAACTGTATATGGAAAGTTTAAATAAGAAACCTTTCATAATATTCATGGGAGAAATGTTTTTTCAGATTTTTTTTTTAATGATGGAACCATGGCTTTGTAGCCATGATAACTTTCAATTCTCTAAATTTTTCCGCATGTCAAAGAAAACATTTATTGATTCAGCAGAAATGATGAAAAAAGAAATTAGCAAAACCGTATACAGGTGGATATCATCTAGTGAGTTTATATGGCCATATTTTAATATTCTTGTGGTATATGGCTACACAGGATACTTTGTTAAGCATAGGAACTACATTTAAAGTGTCCCCAACAACCGTAATGAGTATAACTAATAAGGTAAATATGGTAAAACTGAAGTCAGCCTGTATCATTTTTCTCAAAAATAAAGCTGAAGTACAATAACAATATCCAATACCCGGCAAAATTCTAACTTGTCACATTTCAAATAATAACCAGAAATATAAAACTACTCTTGAGTTGGGTAAATACCACAATTTTGCGGTGATAACTATGACATATAACAGCTGATTCGTGACGTCACGGATCTTATAACCAAACTGATAACTACACTCGCTTGAACGGATTGGTAAATACCAAACCAAACCATTTCCATTTGGTTATCCGCTTGAATTTGATTATACTCTGGTTTGTATTATACCTCGATTTGTATTAAAATTGGCGTATTCTTCATTTGTTCTATAAATTACGAGTATTATAGGTATATAAGAATATACATAAATTTCTTCTAGAACAACCTTTCTGCAACAGAAATAGGTAATTTGGCTAGTTGTGGATACCATGGGGCCAATGTCAAAAGGACCGTGGGGCCAACTTATTTGGCAACATTGCAAAAAAGAGGGTTTGTTGACTATGCTGTTAATGCTATATGTGCAAGATTCTAAACCAATATCTTAATCCACTCCGATGATATCAGTTTTTTTTCGACTTTTAAATTATGACTTCAAAACTCTGTATCTCGGTAATGGGTCATTTAAGGTCCCTTAGTTATATGAAGTGTTGGTGTTATTTTTTTATCTTCTCTATGCCGAGTGGCGCAAAAAGGGTGTGCGGATGGGCGAACTGCCCCGAGGGCCAGCCCTGTAGGGATGACAAAAAATTGACCTAAAATGCTTATGACTGATTAGAGCGAATTTTCCAGGAAAGAATAGCGGAACACGTCGGAACGATTTTATCATATATTTTACCTTCAATCGCTGCAACTGTGGCTGCAGCGGAACTTTCTATTAAAATGGGAAGTGTAAAGGCATTTTATCTATTGAGAGCTGTGTACCCAAGATCGATTTTGATGAGGTTAGTTTTCAGTTTGCAGAAAACAAAGTTAAAAAGAAGAGGTTCTAAATAAAAAATATTTTTAAAAAGAACACCTTTTCTTAAATTCGTGCACATAAAAAATTGGAATATATTCTTAAATCACGTAAATGTATGTGAACAAAGCAGAAAAAATCATGTGATCCAATAGTAAAATGCGAAAACTAAAACGTCTCCTTTCAACATTTATATTTTTCCTTAAAACTTGATTATTATTCCTGCCCATTTTAGCCTTGCTGAATTGAATGTAAGGCAAGAATTAAAAATAAAGGTTTAGTATAATGTTGTATTATATTATAATAATATAAGCCATAACAAGAGGGCCATCCTCGGAATGGAAAATAATATGTTGTCAACTTGTAGGAACCTTTATTTTACCGTCCTAAAAGTTGTCTAAAAAGTTTCATAAGATTTCGTCTCCGCACGTAGATATCACAGGCCCAAGGTCACAAAAATCGGCTTTCTGCAAAGACATCGCTTCCTATGGGTTTATTACTATTCGCATTTAGTATGAATATTGTAGGAAATAAAATTCTCAGCAACTTTTCTTTCAAACAATTTTGGATACAATTAACCGGAAAGCGCGCAACGCTTGGCTATTTACTGCATAATTTAAGGTCATCCGTTAGTCCCGATAAATAATACAACGTATTAAGTCTATAAATAATTAAGAATGTATACAGTTGTGCATAATTATCATTTTTTATTATTTATTAGAATGTATTTTTTTTTCGTTATTTAATTATATAATGGAGAGTATAACTATAGCCCCACCAACAATTTTCGTTTTTACTTTAGTTGGTGTAAATGTAACTTTATATAACTTACCGGGATGAATTTGTTGGTAAATCAATTAGAATTATTTGTTTTATCATTCCTATACGTTATAATAAGTTACAATTGAACAGAGCGAAAGAAAGCCGAAAGTTGTAGGTGGTGCTATAGTTATGCTCTCCAGTCATTATAGGTAGATCAAAAATGAACATGAGTATTAATTTTCCACTTCTACTTCATCATCGTCATCGTTGTCGTCACCAATGGTATTTTTCTCCAGATCTTCAAATATTTCGGGGTCAAAAGTGCTACCTTCATCGGGATCACTTTGAGATAGTAAAGCCACAAACTAAAGAACATTTTAACCCCTATTTTCGGCATCCACAGCGTGAACCACCACCACCAAAATTCAGTATGCAGTAATTCAACTCTAACTGGTGGAAATTTTGTCGTAATCGGTTCCAGGAATTCATTTCTCAGTATCAAACGGTTAACCTTGGATTATGCTGTTAATAGCTGTGTACCCTCCGCTCTCTATCTCACGAACGGTTAATTGTATGAAAATATTTTATTCTCTACAACAGGGCTGTCCAACTTAATGTAGCCCAACGGCCACTTCAAAAAAAAATGCAGTTTGGAGGGCCGCATTATAAAATCTTTCTATACAACATTATTACTGAGTTTGTAAGAATTCTGCATATTCGGTATTTGAGAGTAATTTATACATGTGATGTATACATGACCAGTGAAGCGGGCCGCAAGAAAGGAGTTCGTATGTTGGACAGCCCTGCTCTACAATATCCATAATGAATGCAAATAGCATTAAGCCCATAGGAATCAAATTCTTTGCAAAAAAATGGCATCAAGTAGGTTGACTCTATACTTCCTACGCCGTCGTTGGAGGTTTCAACGAAAAGAAATAAGTCAATTCGTTTGAAAAGACAAAATCGTGATTAGGTACTTACGACGATAAATCGTCGATCGAAGCATATCAAACTAAGTAAAGCAAAACTATGATATTTGTTTCCATGGCAGATGTGGGCACAATGTGTCTTATTATGCCTAGCAGGTGCATAGTATCGCTGAGATCAGCAGCTTCTTAATAATAGAAGGTCCTTTACCGACACCAAATATGCAACAATTTAAATCATGTGTGCGGGTATGTACGTGTATGTGTGTTTATTCAAAACAACTTAATAGAAGATGTCGTAGATGGAAAAAAAATACACATTTAATAGAAAGGTGATGGAAGAAAGACAGATTTGCTAGAAAAGCCTATTTTTGATGTTTTGCGTCTATTGACATATACAGCTGATCAGCAAATTGTCTGTCCATAGCCTTAGATACGATAGATATGACGCCCAGCCTTACTAGCGGCATTTGCTTCTAGATTTCCAGACTACCCCCATACGATGTGATTAGTGTTTTTCTTTCATAATTGCCTGACCTGTCAAGTCCTTTGTTCGTTCTAATAATTCCAGAAGTAGGGTCAATGACGAAACTGCCATCCTGCTGATCTTTTTCTGATAACTGGTAACGTACACGTCCATTCAGGCCTGCATCAGCATCTGTAGCAGCCACTTGCACTACTGCAGTTCCTACCAGAGCATCTTCAGCTACAGTTGCCGAGTATGCTGGTAGACTAAATACCTAAGTAAAACAAGCAATTCGTAGTTTGAATTCAAAGAAACATCATATTTTCGTTCTCAAATATAAGCGATTAGTGAAGATCCGCCAGAGTGAAAACACGGAACTTTCAGATATAAAAAAACATTTAGTTTTGTTTGTAGATAAGTTATTTTAGCGTTTGTCGCTAGAGAAATTCGTTAAAATAACATATGTAATTTCTGGAATTAAACACAAATGATAATAATACCCCTATGGATTACCCTAGAATTATTAATAAGGACTCGAAAAAATAACAAAACTCGCATATTTATATTGATTGAAACATACCTACAATACAAATCACTATATTCATACGGTTCATAATCTTATATTCCTTTGGAAAATGAATAAAATCAGGGCGATATCGCAAGATTCTACACTGATCTGTTTATTTTTATGAGTTTCATCATTCGGTTGATTTTCAGGTACAGACTCTGCTCATCAACAAGCAAGAGGACTTGTTTTTCATCCAAAAGATAATATCCTGAGTATAGTCTATAGAAATAAGGCAGCACAAAGTGCCATCTATTACCAGAATCGGCGATTGCAAAAGTGAGCACAGCAAGCTGTTTGTTGGAACTGTATCCCAGTTCGCGTTGTCAGCTTTGTCACCACTGTTGGTAGAGGATAGTTTCTCAGCTTTTGTTTGTTGTCCTACCTGAGACCAGTGGTGGTAGTTGTAGTAGTTTTTTTCCGCACCGTCGTCAGGCCGCAACCTGGAGCGAGTGGGTCTACGAACCGCTTTTGTGCTGAAACCGCCAAGTTGGCATAACTTCACGCACGCAGGCTGTCTTGTCTACATCATCTTCTTGTTCTTCAGTTGTCCTCAAAGTGGTCTTCCATTCGCACCCTACATCTCCCATCACAGGTCTGCCGGATTAGGAGTTCGGGGATGTTTGTCCTGAATCGTCTACCTTCTTTTGCTTTAACAAGTCCTCCACGAAGGACAAGATCATATGCCAGTG